GAAGGAGAGAAGGAGTCGGTGGTGCTACCTACATGATGGTTTAAAAAATCATCAACCCCCATAGCGGCGGTGGGGGTTTGAAACTAGAGTCAGCAATTCCAAGATCGCCGCTCTGATACCATGCTAAAATATGAAAACTATGAGAGAATATTTGTTTGTGGGAATTTTCTATGTATTCTTCTCCTTGTAGGAGGTCATATTTATAACACAACAAAACCTGAATGGGCAAGTAAATAATAAATTCCTAAATCTATTTACAATAGGAAATCAGGAATTAAAGTAAATCAATTACAAATAAAATAGGAATCCTTGGTGTGTAAGGAAAGTAAGTCAATATCCACAAGTCACGCCAACACATATTAGAAAAACATGGTACTTTTTTTTGGTCAGGGGGAAAAGAAAACCCATGCTACTTTCCACAACAAAACCCTCAAACTTTCATCTCCCTTACAGTCTACAACTCATCATTTGGTGGTTCTTCCTCATCCTGAGAATCAGGAGAAGAAGCTCCACCACTCCTCTCATAGACTTGCTTTATCACTGGATTGCACACTGCTTCCACCTCCTTCAGCTTCTCATCAAAGTCATCCTTGTCTGCGTTTTGGTTGTCATCCAGCCATTCAAGAGCCTCCTTCAGCGTGCTTTCAATCCTCTCCTTGTCATCTGAGTCAATCTTATCTGCCAGCTTGTCCTTGTCGTTGATGGTGCTCTTCATGCTGTATATGTAGGTCTCAAGCTTGTTCCTGGCGTCTATCTTTTCCCTCACTTTGTTATCCTCTTCTGCAAATTCCTCAGCCTCCTTCACCATCCTCTCTATCTCCTCCTGGCTCAGACGCCCCTTGTCGTTAGTAATCGTTATTGATTGAGACCTCTTTGCCGCCTTGTCCTCCGCTCTCACTTGTAGGATGCCATTTGCATCAACCTCAAAGGTCACCTCAATTTGGGGCACTCCCCTGCAAGAGAAAAATAAAGCATTCAGCTTTCAGTATATGTCAATCAAGCACACCAAATAAGTGACAAACTAGCACTCTGGTTTACCTTGGAGCAGGTGCAATGCCAGTGAGATCGAACTTTCCAAGCAAGCGACAATCCTTCGTCAAGCTTCTTTCACCTTCATACACCTGATAATTTTCAAAGACGAGCATTAGTCAAAACACCAAAATACACGCATTATGCAATATGTGGAAATTCCCATCTCAATAGCTTCTGCATTTATCTGTTATAAACATACCTTGATGGATACTGTGGTTTGCTGGTCTTGATAAGTGGTAAAGATCTGAGACTTCTTAGTTGGAATAACAGTGTTCCTTGGAATCAATTTTGTCATGACACCACCAGCTGTTTCAATACCCAGACTCAAAGGGGCAACATCAAGCAAAAGAAGGTCTTTGGTTTCATCCCCGCCTTCTCCACTGAGAACTCCACCCTGAACTGCAGCACCAAAGGCAACAGCCTCATCAGGATTGACTCCCTTGTTTGGTTCTTTCCCATCAAAGAAGTCCTTCAACAACTGTTGCACCTTAGGAATTCGAGTACTCCCACCAACGAGCACGATCTCATGAATATCTTTTTTCTTGAGGCCTGCATCTTCTAAAGCCTTCTTCACTGGCCCCATGGTCTTCTTGAACAAGTCCATGTTCAACTCCTCAAATCTAGCCCTTGTCAATGGCTCTGAGAAATCAATACCGTCAAAAAGAGACTCAATCTCCACCCGGACCTGGTGCTGGCTACTCAAGGCTCTCTTAGCTCTCTCACATTCCTTTCGAAGCTTCCCGAGAGCCTTGTTATCCTTGCTAATATCCTTGTTATACTTCTTCTTGATCAACTTGATGAAGTAGTCCATCACTCTATGGTCAAAGTCCTCACCTCCCAAGTGGGTGTCTCCACTTGTAGACCTTACCTCAAACACACCATTATCAATGGATAAAATGCTAACATCAAATGTACCACCACCAAGATCATAAACCAAGATGTTCTTCTCTTCTTTCTTGTCTAGACCATAGGCAATAGCTGCCGCTGTAGGCTCATTGATTATTCGGGCCACATTGAGCCCAGCAATTATGCCTGCATCCTTGGTAGCCTGCCTCTGTGCATCATTGAAATAAGCTACAAGAACCAATGAAAAGCAACCCATGAGACCAATGTATACAATAACATAATCACTGTGTATTCTCATTGGTATTATCTAATTTCCACAGTGATATACAAGATTAAGAGAGGAAACTCTGACTATACCTGGAACTGTTACCACAGCATCTTTGATTTTCTTCCCCAAATAGGCCTCAGCTGTTTCCTTCATCTTACCCAATATCATAGCACTGATTTCCTCAGGGCTAAACACCTTTGTTTCACCTTTAACCTTCACCTGAATATAAGGCTTCCCATCTTTGTTCACAACCTTATATGGTAAAAACTTAATATCTCTCTGCACCTCTGGATCATCAAACCTTCAAACAAAACCCATTTAAGTTCACAACCCAAATTAAGCACACAAATAACCCACAACCTCTTTCAACCCAATTATCAAGTAAAGTTGCTTACTTTCTCCCAATAAGCCGCTTGACGCCGAAAATCGTGCGTTCTGCGTTGAGAGGGGCTTGATTCTTTGCGGCCTCTCCAATTAAACGCTCGGTGTCAGTGAAAGCAACCCAGGAGGGTGTGATTCTGTTGCCTTGGTCGTTTGCTATGATTTCTACATTACCATTCTTGTACACTCCCACACAAGAATACGTAGTTCCGAGATCAATTCCGATCACAGTCCCCACCTTGGATGAACCTCCGGCTGCCGATGCTATTCCACACAAGAATTCTAGCCAAGCACAAATAAAAAATCTCAACTTCTTCAGCAAATTTAACGTAACAAGAGTTGTAAGTGACAGTTAAAATTATCGACTGTGTTAAGAAACTAGCAGAGAATTTTTATTGAGCTTAATTTGATCATTTTGGCACCTGAAATAAAGAGAAGCAGGAACGCGAACGACAATGCTTGGATCTTCTTCACCTCCATTGCTTTGTTTCTCTATAATCTGCTGCACTTTGTCCGTAAATCTTGGCCTTCTTTTTGATATTGTGTTTGTGATTTTGTCTGAACTTCGGCTGACTGAAAAAGCTGAGCTTCAGGGGTTCGTATTTATACAGTTCGGCCTTGGTTCGGTTCTATTTTCCGTCATGCGTATTCCATCCAGTGGTGATGCGCCACGTCATCAAATTTGCATCAGCGTTTGTTACTGCCTTGCGACTGGGAAATGTCAAAGCTCCGATTGGAGTTGACACGTGGGTTCTGATGGAATCCGGATGCTTCTTGAATTGTGCAGAAGGGGAAAAAGGCGCGAGGAGGATCAATGGCGGTTGAAGGCTAAATCGGGTATTGTCTGAAAGAATGAGGAGCTTTTAGTAAATTCGGCTCATGTTTCAGCTGTCAAAAGGCCCAATAGGGTCATTGAGTTTGGGCTGAGCTGGACTACAATTCCTTTGTGTTGCTTTGGCCCATGATCACTTGACATTATGGAGGCCCAAACCTATCCAACATGACGTCACTTGATATTCCAAATTACCCTAATCTACGGCAAGAGTTCAAACTCGGATGCAAATAGGTGAACACACTCCTCTGACTAAATGATATAGCTCACATTTGCATACTCAGGGGTTGGAATGAGATATTTGGATTGTAACACTAAAAATTTGTGGATCATTCATTTTTATTTTCCTAACCAATTTGCATAACCCACATTTACATATTCACGAGTTGGATAACAAATTTAACCCAGCACAACCTTAAGGTAAAGTAATTAATTCAAATGAAGTGATTCAAAACTCTACATAAAAAATTTCAAAACCAGCTTAAAGAATAGAATGCTTACATCTTATGAACACACCAAACAATAAAATCTATCCGAATGGAGCAAGAGGATTTGGAGTGCGTGCGGATTTTGAGCTCCTAAGCTCTTTACAAACATGATCTAACATGCCCAAAAAGTCTCTAACAATCACAAATATCCTAAGTGGGTTGGCTTCTTCTTTGCTCACATTCCCGTGAAAATACTCTGTGATCTCTTTCACATGTGACAGGACCCTGTTCTCATCACCCTGCAACTCTTTCAAGCTCTTCTCCGCATAATTTATGAAAGATTTCATGGAACTGATCAAATTCCCACTTTTTTCATCCATGCATAGCTCCTTGTGTATTAGATGTTTTATTTTGGCCATCCCATCTGATAGATTTGAGACACTGCTTGCAAGAACATCTAAGTCTAGTGTAGCTGTCTTCTTCACATTGTAGAGCTCAGTGCTGAGACCAGAAACAAGGTCTAGCCCCATTCTTCTGTAATCTTCTTCCTTCTCTTCTAGAGTTATGATTTTGTTTTTCTGGCTGATCCTCCCCATTATGCTATCTGAGACTCTGATCCCTTCTGCCCTTATTATTTCTTGGACAACAAAATGTAACAAGGTAGTCTTTCCATCAGTTCCTTTTACATCAGAGAGCTTGAGAAGAGTGTCTAGCTTGAATGCTTTAGCACCTCCTCTGATAGTTCCCACATTCATACGGTTGCCTGTTTTCAACACCGCTTCGAGTAGCTTCAAGAAGAGCCTGCTTGACCTCAGTTCCTTGCAGGCCTCCTATAGTATTATGATTAAACAAAAGGAAGAAATTAGTTTGTGCTCAGATGTACTTCTTGCTGCATAATGTGGTTTGTTGGTTACCTCTAGCACTGAAAAGGAGTTCCTAAGATGAACCACCTCATCTTCGAAAGTTTCTCTGTAAAGCATCGCTTCGACTCGTAGAAAGGCAAAGGGTACTTTAAGCACTGCCTTCACAAACTTCTCTGCTGATCCTAGTTCATTGATGTCTCCTTTGTAGCCAGAGAGCTTAGCCTCTTCTTCCTTGGTGGGTTCCATCCTTACAAGTGCTTCCAGTTGTTGTAAACCCAAGCCGATTCCTGTTAATATCTTAATGTTGTTAAACGACATGAAGTTTATAATATCTTGGCTAGAACTGTAGAGGGGATTTATCTTTGATCATTCCCTGCTACGCAACTATGATCCTATCGGACCTATCCAAATGCCAACAATAGGGCTTCAGGCAATTAATAGGACATTTGTACATAATTTCATTTTGGTTTATATTAAATTGTTGCTTTCATACCACGTCACTTCTTCATGACAGACCCTTGATTTTGATTGTTTATAAGGTTATATAACATTAGGAGTTACATACCTTGTAGAAGTGCTTCACATACTTGCTCAGCAGTAGAATTCAGGGCTTTTGAGAGTATGGTTATGTTCTGTAGTCTCTTTGGCTCAAGCACATGCTTGCTTGGGGAAGGGCTCTTGCTTTTTGCTTCATCATTCTTCATTGTGCCTTGTAGATTGTACCCAAAAAGTGACTCAATCATTTCCTCATCCAACCTGTTTCAAGACACATGATTTGTTCAGATTTAAACAGAAAAGGGGAAAGACAAATTGCAACCAACAACATAATGTCACTTACTCAAATGAGCTTGATCTCAGTTTGTCCCACACCATAGAATGGTCAGGTGCAGCTCTAACTTTATCCCAGTGCAACGGCTTCAGTTTAGGCAATGGAGTTCCATCTTTTCCCAATGGTGTAGATTGAGGGAGTGGCGGAGGAGGTGGACCTCTGGACAAGCTATTATTTACTTTCGAAAAGGGAGGTGGGCAGGGTGGTGGAGGAATAGGAGGTGGAGTTTCTGAAGGTCCAGAGGGGTTTTGAGGCGAAACCGAAAATCCACCTTCTGGGGTTTGGTTTGATCCGGAAGAAGAATCTGATTGTCTTGGAGGTGATAGATTTGGCAATGTAGAAGAAGAGCATGAAGCTTTGGATGCAATTCTAGCTGAACTAGAAGAAAGTTGGAAACGAGGAAAGTGAGCATGGTGCAGTTGGTGTCTTGTGTTCTGCATTTCTTGGAGACTGTAAATCCAGAACTGGAGTTGGGTTTTGGTTTGGGGTTGCTGGTTGATCTGGAAAGTTCATAAAAGAGGGTGCTAAACAAGGTTCTCTGTTCGACACATTTGTGGAGAGAATGTCTGATGCATCACCTAGAGTACCTGCTGAAGCATTCGAAAGCCGGATGTTTGATGAATTTGAGTCTCCAAAAGAATGGAATGATTCAATATCAGAGGAATAAGAATCAATGGGAATAACTTTTTCCCTAGTCGGGGAATTAGCACAATCAGATTCATATTTGATTGGCTCTGCAATATCCTCATGAACAGACATAATTTCCCTTGTGGAAGAACTACAACTAGCATTGTCATCAAATTCTGATTTTACCAGTTCTTGGTTTGACTCTTCCCTCTCAAGCAATATACATCTTGCTGTGCTAAGATTTGGTGATGTGTTTATAGTTTCACATGTTTCCTTGGGACACGAAAGCTGTTGTTGCTCTAAATCCATGCTTAATGATTCAATATACATGAGATCAGTGGTGCCAGGGTTTAAGCTCACCTTGCTTGCTGATTTTTGTGAACTACCATACTTTGATCCACCTCTTGCTCCTCCCTTTTTGCTGTACACTGAAATAACTCTTGTGGGTTTCTTCTTGGCCTTTTTGTACTTCCTGCAAGCCCAAATGAGGCTAAGGACACAAATCACAGTGGCAGCTCCTGCAGAAACAAGAACTGCTACAAGTATCTTTGTGATTCTGCCTTTATCCTTCCTTCGAATTGTGTGAGGCTTTGGGATTGAGTGCAAGCGATGTGGAGGATGTGAATGTGCATGGATGTGCAGCACAGGAGCAGGAGCAGGAGCAGGACTTGGAGCCTCAGCTTCACTGAAGGGTGATGGAGAAGGTGATGGAGACACATTTTCAGTGTCACCAACAGATGGCATTTTCTTTTGGAAGCTCTTCAAACCCAGTAAAGCTCTGAACTTTTCCACAACTGAGATTGCATTCTCTTCATTCTCATCTTCCCCTGAAACTTTCTCAATGTGCAGGCTTTGGATCCCATCAATATTGTCCTCCATGAAAGACATTTGTTGTAGGCCATGAACACTGAAGTCCTTTGCTGCATCTGGTAAAGCATCAGCAGTAATAATGTGAGCATTGGGTAATGAAAAGAAAAAAGATACGATGAAAATCATGTGGAGAATCTGAAAACTGTATCCCATTTTTCTCTCTCAACCAAAAACCATCAAAGCACCAATCTAACTTTCTGTTTATAAATCATCTTCTTTTTTTTCTTTGTAAAAGGCTCTTTGGGTGGGTATATCAGTATACAGGTGGTGTGCAATGAAGATCAAGTGCAGAGAGAGAGAGTCTTAAATGCTACTCCAAGGAACCTCTGAGCCTGGCAGTTGAAGTTGTGCTGGCCCTTCTTTACTTCCCTGTTCATGCACTCTTATCTCCTCTCACCTCCATAAATACCTCGGCAAAAGCATCTCTATATTGTCTTTCAAGGATGTTCTAAATCCTAATTTGACACCATTTCTTCTTGTCTTATTTTCTTTAAATGCATTTTTTGCTAGAGAAAAGGTGAACATGTTTTCTGCTACTCATCAATTACCACTCATGAAGTTCATCATCATTTTTCTCTCAGTTTCAGTGATGACTTTCATGAAGGGCCTTTACATGCCAATTGGGTCATGGGATTTGCACTTGAAAATGGCTTTTTAGTATCTAAAAGTCATCAAATCAAAACAAGTCCAGATGGGTCCCATTTTTGTTGGTCCTTGCCTAACTATTTAGAAGGTTGATATATTACTACCAGTTCTCTCCAACCCTCATAATTGCAGAGAGGTATGCACAAATGGGACCATCACTTTCCCATGTGGTCTTTGTTTACAAGAGAAACCAAAAGCAAAACATCCAAAAGTGAAAATCTATAAGATCTTTGATCTTTTGTAAAATTATGGGGAGGCTAAAGTTTGATTAGCAGTTGCTTGTCCCTTTCTCATACTTTAAGTGGCTAGGTCGTACTGTTTAATAGCTGCTCTTTCTGGAGTAGCAACCAAAGTTCTGGTGAGATTAATTCATATTCCATGACCTAAGTTCATAGTCATTAGCTTCTGTGTTGTCCCCTCACTAACACCCCCCACAGACACAGAGAGAGAGAGAGAGAGAGACAGAGACAGAGAGACAGAGAGACAGAGAGAGACTCAGACTGACAACATATAGAGTACCTGCATGTCGTTAGTAATTGGCTGAGCGGTTGCTTAGAATTCAATCAGAAACTAGGCAATGGGGGACCTTATCATGTACCACTTGCTGTCTTGTTGTGAACAATGGCCTGTAGCCATTTTGTTACCAACCATTTTGCGAAGAGCATAATCTCACTCTTGATTAGTTATTCAACTAAAAAACTGGTTTAGTGCTAGTCCTTTGTAGCTTAAATGGTTAAGAATATTTATCTATGCATTTAAGGTATTAGGTTCGATATTCGGCTCCCAATATCGCGTGTATCCAAAAAACAAAAACAAAAATGGTTCAGTCAAAATCTTGAGCTCACTGTGATCTGATGAACTTGTGCATATTTTTTTTCTGTGTGTATAGTTTTAGACTGGTTTTCACTTTTATCTACATTCCTCTCTTTCTACTACCATTATTGTCCCATAGGCCACAGCAGCTTGTCTATATGATATCTCAAGACAAACAAGATATACGGTTCCATTCTGCCAAAAGCCGGCAGAATACTGAATTGGGTCCAATCCAAGCTAGTCAGACTGAATGGTAGATTTGTTCAAAACCCCGAGCTGCAGTTGGTCATTGTTACATGTTCTCAATCATACAAACAATTTGTTCACCAACCAAAAAATCACACAAACAATTTTCTTTTCTAGTTAATAATCTGAGTCTGTAGGGCTATAAAGAGGGATACCTTAATAGCCATCAAATTAGTTTCAGAGTTCTTATTGAATGACCGGATTGAACCTGTTAACATAATCCCTTCATTATAACAGCTCCCAACTCATCATCCCTTACCAACATTGATTTGACCCTCCTATGGTCCTAACCCTTCTCTGTTGAAGCCATGAACCATCGATTGATCCTACAACATACAGAAGAGATGAGGCCCAGAGACAAAGGGTACAAAAACTTAAAGGCATCGTATGAGGCTTCCAAACCAAACTTGTATTCAATCTGGGCCTGGTTAAAGCAACCAAATATCTCATTTTTGAACTCAAATGTAAGGGATGTAGGCTTAATCCATGGCCCAATTATAAGCTGAAGTGACTTGCTTTGACATGTTCTTCTCCCATCCAATGCAATTTCTTTCTGTGATGTGGAGAAGATTAACTCGTAAAAGTCCAACAAAGTGTCTTCAAATTTTGACTGCTTTTGGAAAACCAAGAGTCTGCTTCTGCTTCTGCTTCTGCTTCTGCTTCTGCTTCTGCCTCATTTTGCAGGTGCCACTTTCTAAACCTACTATATGCCCTTTTTCATTTTTTCCTTGTTTGCTAGTTTTTAACTTTATCACCGTCTTCACCATTTTGACTGAGATTAGCCAAAGCTTAATTTTGGCTGGCTGATTCCAAAAAATATGAAGTCCTTGAAAATTGAGGAAGTTGTACAAATATTTGGTTTGATAGACCACGGAAATTCTAATTTGTATAGATTATGATTAATGTGTACAAATAACTACATCATAATTACGATGTCTAATTTTAATATTCACATAAATAATTTTTTTCTTTGATACGATCGTGAGTGTCAGGCTCGGTTTGAAATGATTCAAACCAAATTCATTGTGATTGTTATATTAAAATAAACATTTAATTGCTTTTACTTTTACTTTGATCTTTCAAATCCATAACTGCTTTAGTTTTACTCTTACTTTGATATTTCATTCGCCAACACGTCATTCATATGCTTTTTTACCTACCATGCACTTTATCTAGCGTTACTGAGTCACTCATAGTTGTAAATTTTCAAAATATGATCAACGTTTTTTCTTTGGTCCCCAAATAAAAAGGAGGACCCTTTCAATTTGTCTTTGTATGATTGTGATTGAGCACTCACAAATGGTTGTAGTAAAGCCAAGGATCTAAATAATTTGTTGATACAAGCGATATTGGGAGAAGCCAAGGATCTAAATAATTTGTTGATACAAGCGATATTGGGAGAAGCCAAGGATCTAAATAATTTGTTGATACAAGCGATATTGGGAGAAGCCAAGGATCTAAATAATTTGTTGATACAAGCGATATTGGGAGCGGAGGAAATTAAACCTAAGACCTCAAATACAAGAATAGATGCTCTTAACCACTTTAACTACAAGTCCATTGCTACGAAATATCATTTTAGTACTTGGTTATTAGACCGAACTAAACATATTTGGATTAATAAAAAGAAGCATGCTAGAATTTTGAAGGATGGAAAAGCTCATTTCACGCATCATGCAGGGCCCAATTATTTATTGTTTTTTTCCCCCTCTATTATTACAATTATTTGTTGACTTAATATATGCAGAATTTTGAAGGTTTTTTCTTCTTCCCGGATTATGATACTACTAATTGTATAATATTAATTAGATATCTTTGTCATTCTGTAATTATATAACACTTTCAATGTCACTATTAGTGAGTTTTGGGTATTAACTGGTATTTTTTATGTGCCATGAGAAATACACGAGGATTAACGGACTTGGATAGATATAATTATTTGTTTATGTCAATTTTGGCTTCTCTAATCTCAATCTTCTCCGTATTAAGATATTATGGGGGTAATCAAACCACAATAATATTCTGCTATATCTTAATGTACTGTTCCGCACTCATTTTGATCTTAATATATCTTTATCTTTTCGTCACTCTCCATTATGCAGCTAAAATGATTACTAATCTACACGCTTGAGCACGGTTCGGATTGAATCGATATTTATTCAAAATCGCAAACCTTACTGTGAAAAAAAAAATTAAAAAGTACTAAGAGTTGAAGTTGACTTGCACAAACTGATTAATCTAGCACCATAACCAAGGCTTTGTAGTTTTTTTTTTCCTTCAAGTTGGTTAAAGTTCACGGGTTCAATTCTCACATTGTCGCGTTGACGTTTTTGGTGTCATATCATATATGTTTGAAGTCTAACAACTCCCATGATTTCATCAACTAGCAGCACTCACAAATTCACAACAAACAACCCAGATGCGCCCCCTGGTTTGGTTTCTCTCTTTTTTTGACTTCTCCAATCTCCCCTGTTTCAGCCACTTTCTCTCTCTTTTTTTGTATTTTATATAAACCCACTTCCCATTTCCAAGTTTCCATATCCCCTCCAAATCTCACCCCAACTTTCTCAACCTCTTCCTTCCTCATTCCCAATTTATCTTAGCTGACAGCAACACCAAGAAACTCTTTCCTGTAAGGCAAAAATGCCCTTGCATATCATATAATTCATTGGGTGCAGTGTTGTCTTTTCACTAGCATATTGTCACCCTGCTGATTCCAAACTGGTTTTTTTTTTTCTTCCAGGAAAACAAGCACCTTCTTCTGTACTGATTTTCCAACAGCAATGGAGATTCAAGAACACCGATGCGATTCGTTGTCCGAAACAGAAAGCACAGGGGTTGGCCATAGCGGTCCGTTAAGCGGACCCCTAGTGACCAACAAGAGGAACAACAGCAGCAAAAGAAGTGCAAGGTTCAAGGCCAGCGATCAAGAAGAATGCTACGTTGAAATCACATTGGATGTTCGCGACGACACCGTCTTGGTGCACAACATCAGAGGAGGCGACTCTGAGACTGCAATGCTAGCGAGCAAGATAGAGAGAAGGCCTTCATCGCTGTCTCTTGGCTCCCAACTCTCGTTCAGATTGAGACAAGTGTCCCAGGAACTGAAGCGCATGACATCTTCCAAGAGCTTCAAGAGGGTCGATAGGACCAAGTCCGGGGCTGCTCGTGCACTCAAGGGGCTCAAATTCATGACCAAAAATGTGGGCAGCGAAGGCTGGTCAGAAATCGAAACAAGGTTTGATGAATTGGCTGTCGATGGTACTCTTCCTAAGTTGAAGTTTGCCCAATGTATAGGTACGAAATGTTGTCACACCTTGACACATTGTTTTATATATGTACTACAATAACATTGTTTGAAAGTTATAAACGGTGTCGTTTGTGACAGGGATGAACGAGTCGAGTGAGTTCGCTGGCGAGTTGTTCGACGCGTTGGCTCGTCGGAGAGG